AGCACATATAAAAGGGACTGGTTTGGAGAAATTCCCCGAGTTCATCATTTCCACTGAAGGTCATGAATAGGTTCAGCTCTGGAAGGGAGATTCCCAGCAGCAATGCTGTGGCCAACTCAGCTAGTACGTTGTTTCTGTTACAAAAAGGGATGTGTTCTCTCCCTGCTTGCCAGAATTTTAGGTTTACACCTTTTGCTGAGTTTGCTGTAGCCAGTTGTTTGAAATACAGCTGCCATAATTAAAAGGGAAGAAACAGGGCTGCAGACTTGCATAAATATTACAAAGATTACCTCTAATAAGAATTACCAGAACTTCTGGTTTCATACTCACTTCAGTGCTTAATTAAACTTAAAATTCCCTTCTACTCTAGCACTTCTTATTGCAAAAAAGTTGCTACCATACCAGTATAAGAAAAACTTCTCCAAAAGTGCTGGGGTTTAAATTATTTTTATTGACAGATGTATGTAGTTCTGTGCTTGTCCTACAAATCTTCATGGCTTCAGGGCACTTTTATTAATGGACACCATGCCAGAAGCAGTTAAGAACTCTATCTTCAAGAATTTCTTTTTTTTTTTTTTTTTTTTATTGTAGTAAAGAAGAAATGCAAATGATAAGGAAGAAGGAACTTAACATATGGCCTTGGGGAAAAAAAGTAATTTGATTTTATAATTTTTTCTTAACCTGCCTCTGCTGGCAGACAGTAAATCAGATGCTCATCCTGTGGCAGATTCTCTCTTTAGAATGGATATAACTCATGAAAAGATAGAGACATCAAATTGCACTCTAAATTACTAGGTAGAAAACCAAATTTTAAAAAATCTGACAGGAATATTTGGACTTCACATGCAGCGTGTGACACAACTTGCTTACAGTGAATTTGACTGAAATCTCCCCTCTGTCATTTGGGAGGGGTGATGACAGCAGTGTTCATTTATATCCTTTATTTAACATTGAACTAAACCAAACCACAGGTCAGGTCCTCAGGCACAACCACCATACTGATTCTCCCAAAGCCTGTTCCCCTACACACCTTTCCAACATCCTATCCACAGTATCTATTGTTATGGTACCAGGAGCCTGTCCTGCTCCTCTGAGGTGCAGGAGGGATGCCCGTAGGAGGAAGCAGCCATGAGGTGCGAGTTGTCTGGATAATGCTTACATTAAGGGATAAAATTCCGTTGGTCAAGAGGCATGGTGCAGCTTGGACAGGCCCATCCTTTAAAAGCACCATTGGTTGGCAGCACTCCACTTAGATGTCTACCCTTAGATGTCTACCTGTATCTCCTCTCCCAGTCCCAGGTTTGCTACTTCATCCCCTCAATCCCATCACCTTCCTTGGCTCATGTTCTCAAGGACTGAAATAAAAACAATTTAACCCAGTCAGGGCTGGCCTTTCTGGGTCCTGCCTTTCCTTTCCTTATGGCCATACTGTCTGTCCCCTCTCTGGTGCCAGTATGCTTCTCTTCCCATTCACCCATGAGCTGTGTCCAACTTTTGCAGAAGAAGAATAAGTGTGGGTGTTCTCACCTGGAAATAACAATTTTAGAAACAGCCTTGACAACATAAACCCCAAACAATACTTGAAGCACGGACAGAGGATACCTATCAGCAACATGTATTGTGTGGAAAGACTTGGCATTGAAGAAGCTCAGTTTATATTCTGTCACAAATGAGTACTAAAAATATACTGACTCCAAGTGAACTTCTGGAGTTTTGTTCCCAGTGAGAAACAAAGAGATATTGTCAAAGGGCAAGAATTCCAGGTAAGAGGGCCTTCTGCCTGTTCTCTGCTTGTGTACATGTTGTTGTCCTCCCCTCTGCCTCCTTTCCTATAAAGGCATTACAGGGAGGTAACAGACTTACTTACTACGTTACTACATTAGTAGCAATGGAAAGGAAATTGCATTTTGAAATGGTTGATATTAAAGCAAAGTGGCACCTTGCACTCTGTGCGGGGAAGTTTTCAAGGAGAGAAGAACTAAGGCAGGTTCCCAGAGTTAGCAGATCCTGGCCAATTTCACATGACAAGCTTATTCATTCACCTTTCACAACCAACATCTAGGTCAAGAGACTGAGGGCATGAAATGGAGCAGGAATAATGCCTGGTGGATGGGCTGCCAGCACTCCTGGGAGGCACACAGCTCAGCTACAGGGCTGCTGGAAGAACCAGACAGGGCAAAATCCCCTTGAGATACCAAGTCATCCCTGCAAAGTAGGATACTGAGATACTGTCAAACCCCTGCAAAGTAGGAGTCAGGAAGCTAACTTTACGCAGTCACAGCTTTCTTCTTTTGTAGCCTAAAGTCCTGTTCAGAAGCTGTATATCAGTTAAAAAAAATTACATTATGGGCATCCCTTGAGTAACAATTCTCCAGTTTTGGAGGTTTTCCTCCACTCTTTCAATCATACTTACTTTCTTCTGTTTCATTCATGGTTCCTCTATGCTGCAGCCAGTTCTCCTTTAGACTGAACTGGTGGAAAAAGGTTTTATTCTGTAAGGGAGAAGGGGAGGGAAAAAAAAAAGAGACAACAGTGACTCTTTGCATCCCTGCCCTTTACAAAGCAGTAATTCACAGTACACAGTATTCAGCCTATATGTCTGGCCTAAAAGGTTTCTGTATACGAAATCCACCCACCTTTTCTTGGATCAGTAAACTGGGAGTTGCCTCACTAAATAATGGCCAAGGTGGGATTTTGTTTTGGAGGAAGCAGGACATGCCAAGGCTAAGCAGCCTGCATATTTCAAAGTTCTCTGCAGTCATGTTCAGAGCTCATTTCTTATATACACTTACATACATTTTCTACGTACCAATCAGCCTACTTAGCAATTTCACTACAATCTCATGTTCTGCCTTCCACATTTCCACAGCAACATTTTAAGCTTATTACACACTTCAGCTTCAGCCCTGTAAATTTGACAAGCACAGCAATTCACCTCTGTGCAGTTTGTACACCAACTTCCTCCTTCTGCATCTTCCCCCTCTGGTTAAATAGATTCATGTTCTTCTCTTTCTTTCTCTGTCCCTGTCACAACAAATCCCCCTTTTGCTGTGTCTACTTGACACCCGTGTCAATGCCTGTCCTCAGCCTGGTTTGCCCAGGTTGCTACATCTCTCCAGCCCAGTGGGGGACTTGCTCCCAGGCCTCTCCTGAATTCTGACATCTCAGAGCACCATGTTAAGGTGCTAATACTGTCACAGCCACTGCAGGTTAGCTCACATAGCTGATATCCACGCTGCAATGGCAGGAAAGAAACATTCCTTATGCAACATTACAGGTCTAACCCCACTGTCATATTTTTGGCCACCAGTCACTTTCAGTGGAGAAGCCAAGAAACAAGAGCAAAGTGGGCAGAGGGGAAAAAAAGTGAGATAGTAAATTATCTTTCAACCAGCAACAATCAGGTTTGCATTACCTTTCGGTGAGGTGAATACTCATCTACAGTGCTGAAACAAAAAGGAGAAGATCATTCTTTCCAGCCAAAGCTTAGAAAAGGAAATTTTAGCTACTATAAAGTTTACAACATCAGAAAGTTTTTAATAATAAATAGTCACCACAGACTGGGTGCAGAGCTCCTTCGGGAAAGCTAAGGGTGTCTGGCTCAGTCAGAAACCTTTTCTGTGACTTGCACAATGGATGTAGTGAAAAGCAATGCTGCCAGCCTGTGAGCTGCCGGAGAACATGGACATAGCTCAGGCCCCTGGGGTAAGCAGTCAGAGTCACCCTCAGGGACACAGCTCTTTCCACTTCCCCAATGCCAAACCATGGAAACAAACTCCATTTGTCTGAAAAAACTGCCAAGGAAATATCTTTTACAAAACCCATCATTGTTAGTAAAATAATAACCCCAAGAAGACTATTGCAAGAGATTTGCTTCTCAGTATTGCAGATTGCAGAGAGAGAATGAGAATGAAGGTACTATCTGAAGTCACAGACTCAGCTTCTAGAGGAAATTTTGCCAGCTTTTCCTCAAAGTATTGCTCTACTTGCAAGTCATCCCAACCAAAATTGATGGGAGTGACTGTTGAAACACGCACTGCCCAACAAACATCATAGAAGATTAAATAATCTAGCTTTAGTTTACAGAAGAGATTGTTTGTAAAAATGAATATAGTACTTGCTTTACTGAATTTTAGCAAGATGACAACAAAAATAAATTACACTCTAAGCAAAAGGAGACTTGATCACAAATATAAGCAATACTTACTGACGACGATGCATCCCCAGTATCTTCTGAAATTCTTTCAGATCCTTCTCAAGAATCGGATATTCATACACATCATCTAACACATTCCTGTATATCGTCTACAAAATAAAACAGTATCTGTAAACATCTGAGAACTCAAATATAAGTCTAAGGTACCACATCAGTGATATAAATCAATTCAGGCACTAGCCTGCTAAAACAAATTTCATCACTATATTTATGCAAGGGCCATAAGGACAGAATGTTCCTGTTAAAATTTCTAGATTGGTCCATACTCAGCTTGCCCTTGGAGGAACACTCTTTATATGATCACCAAGCAAGAAGGCAAAACGTTGACACTCTTCTGTCTATACACACAAAGATTTAAAACACTTGTTCCTGTTAAATGAAATCTGAGTTAGGTCAGAAGAAAACATTCTGAAGCTTGAGAACAGACCACACCATGATCACCTATCCAAAATGATTACAAACAGGTTCATTTTATTAACCTCAGTTAAATGTGAAAGACAGTACCTCAGTCAAAAGGTAAATAAACTGAATTGGTTGTCATGGTTGAAATTGTAGGAAGTATTTTCTCTATACTTTTTCAGAATGTGTGCATAGATCCTTCTCCTTCCCTTCAACGAAAATGAGGATCATACGTATGAGCTTAGTCATCAGGTTTGCTTTGGTCCAATTAACATGCCTACATTCATAAAGTTCATCATGAATGATTCTGGCTTACAATCCTACATATTGTTTTTGCATGCCTAACTTCAACCATCATTAACATTACTGCTGTTTAATATTGCACAGAAGCCTCAAGAAGAGAAATTGTGTGACAATACACAGTTACACTTCATGGCCAGAAAAGACAAGCCCCGTAACCTTAACTGATGGATGGAAAGATGCTCCCTTTCCAGTACAACACTACACATGTAGTGCCAAGCAGCAAAAATCCTAAGGTCTCTATTTCCATATGCAATGTGTCCTACTCCAAAACCAAAACACTACCAAAAAAATGAAGCTCAAGTCTTTCTACAAATTAAGATTAATATTTCATCCCTTTGTCCTGAGTGAAAGACTGAAAAGAACAGTTGCAGACAAAGAGTCTCATCAGAAAAGGTGGAATATTCTGCAAAGTCTCCTAAAATACTTTTACCTTTGAAGCAACAAGGGAAAAACAAACAAACCCCTAGAAAACAACCAAAAATCCGCAACCAGGTGGCTCCTCGGTCAGTGATGACATGGCTATTTGCAAATTTAGAGCAGAATTATAAAAACTATAGGAACTCATTCAGAAAGATCAGAAAATCCTTTCTATTAAGTAAGGACATAATTTCATTTATTAAAAATACATAAAGCTGTGCTTCTCTCCATGTACACCTGACAAACACTGTGGAATAGCATTTCACTCCTCAAAGTAGCATCTATTACAAGGACCTCAAAACTCTCTCTTGATCTGTGACTCTCTGGATACTGACTGCAGCCCCTCTTCTGGCAGATATGACCAGTGTGTCCAAGGAACCTCCACATCTTCATAATTTTATTTCTCACCTTCCTAACTTTTCGTATTTTCTAGAAAGCATGGAGTTCTATAAGTTTCATATCTGACAGCAATGGTTTTGACATTGAATTACAGGTCTTCTGTTTAAACCGACCATCTGTAAGGCATTCAAGGAAGAAATGTAAATAATTTTATATTCTAGATTTTGTGGACAAAATTTAAGTATGAAAAATTATGCTTTATATATTTGGCTGTTGGGGCTTTTTAGACACAGTACGTTAATTAAACAGTGTTGAAGTACATCATAAAGTATTTCATTACCTTTAAAAATTGTTTTAAATGCTCATCTTCATGTAACCAGTCTTTGTAGAGAGAAGTCCACTGGGACACCAAATGCAAGACTTTTCGTTTCCTACAGGACACATCAGAGTCGTCTTCTTTCCCTTGGTGGTTCTTAGCACAATAGGTACAGCAGGTTAAGGAACAAATAATAAGGTCTCCCTGAAACTTAAAAATTAAATGGTGAAAAGACTTTGCAATCATCTCACTTGCTACTGAAAGATTTTTTTTCACTACACTGCTCAGTTTAAAATGTTTTATCTTATCTGGAGCTTTAGGAGTTTCATCAACTTTTTGGAATGAAATTCTCAGTAAATGTCAGTTCATCTCCCGTGCCAACAGGATTTTTCTCCTTTATAGATTACAGTGGCGAGTCTATAAAGGTAAAATCAATTCGAAAGGAATTACACAATGTTGAGTCATATCTTTTCTGCAGAAATGGGAATGAACCTTTGTCCTGCACACCAGTGCCAACATGAATGTCTGTAGGAAGGAGAGCAATGCATCATTAACAACAACAAAAATCCCAGGCAGAGGAAGTCAATTTCTTTTTCCCTGCACAAATTATACTCTCTGAAGAAATAACACTCTTAAAATAATTTAAAAGAAGAAGTGAAAGAATCTATTTCCATCATTGTTCTCTATTCACAAAGCAGTAGCACTAAATGACAGAAGATACCCACTTCAGACATTGTTCTGTCCCTTCGCTATTCTTTCATTAGGTAAAAAGATGATGTTTTCACTACAAAAGGTAAAGAGGAAAAAAAACAAAGAAAAAAAAAAGCAAATTCATTTTATAGCTACAAGTTCATTCAAACAATGCTCCATAGTATATGGAAGTAATTGGAAATACAAGAAAAAAAATCTTGTATCTCAGAATGACTTTAGACTTATACTGCATCCCATGGTAAAAGGAGTAGAGATTGTAAAATACTTTATTTTTTTCTTCACATATTCTGAAATGTATTACACAGATATAGGTAGTCTAAGAATTAACATATAGGTCTGGATAGGTTTAATCCCACTTTAAATGTTACTCTAACAGTTATAAAGGTTTATTTATCTTTAAACAAAATCAGCAGACATAAAATTGCATTGTTGCTGTGAGTTAGGTGTCTTTCGATACATCTTTCAAACATTCTTGTGAAGTAAGTATACACATATGCAAATATGTGTGTTTTGGATGCAGGTTTATTCAGAGGCACCTTTAACTTTGGCTGTTTCCTGGTATCTAGCACAAAACTGTTTTACAGCAACTTAACCTCACCACCTCTTGCCCTGTCTGGCATCAATATGAGTAAAGACCTTTATCTTCCTTCCCTTCCTCCTTAGGTACCTGAAAGATTGTCCAATTTATAGTTTCCTTTCCCCCCTCTCCCCCCCCCAGTAAAACAATCCCAATTCTTTCAATCCTTCTTTGTAAGTCTTTTTTTCTAGGATACAGGTAATTACAATTGCTCTCTCCTGAAGCTTCTGCTATTTGTTCATGCATTTCTTGGGGTGTGATGCCAAAATCTTAGGTACAGTCCAACTTCTAAGCATGCCATAGTAAGTATTTGACAATTGTTCTCTTTTCTCACCATTTTTTAAATGCAACCTCAAAAATAATTAAATGGGTTGCATTTCAATAACATCAATATTCAAAGAGCAAAACCAATTATCCCAGGCATGCAATTTACTACATTTGATATAAGGTTTCACAATAGATAAACCTAGCTGTAAGCGTGTGACCCCTGTTAATGCAACAGTTAATAAAAGGATATTGCCTCAGAAGTGCCTGGCACAAGTCATCGGTCGTCATGAAGACTGTGTACGTGAGAAGGAAGTCATCCAGGAGAGTTTCTGCAGAGGAAGACAAAAAAGCCCAAGGGACAATACATTAGTGAGAGAAGGAACAGTGTATCTACACCTGTTAGTGTACATGGCAGGAATAGGACGCCCCTCCCTCCCACCAAAAACAAAAAAGTCCAGAGCATACAGAATACATCAAACTTCAAGTTTCAAACAATTAACAGCACGTTACCACTGCAGAGATCAGATCCTTTATTTAACAAGCACATCTCCACTTCTCAAAGAACCAACAAGCACAACTATGCACACAATAATCCACAGTTCAGGAATCAGAGTCCAGAGAAAGAGTCCTTATCACAAACACCACTTGGCTCTGCTGCATGCAAAGCAACTTTTCCACCGTCTAAGTTGTTCTGGAAATTCAGAAGAAAAGCTTTTAGTAATAAGAGAGGGAAAACTGTGATAGCCATGTACTATGATTAACATCTACACACAGTAGCTGAGAAACATGAAATAGATTGAAATCTTTAGCTGGTTAGTCTTGTGGGCATCACTATGACTGCTGATAATTTTTCTCTAAGGTTTATTTAATTACATAATGGGAGGTTTTTTCCTCCACCTGGTTTCTATCAGTGTTACAAAAACGGGCTGAAGATATTTGCTAACAGGCCATCGTTACTCACCACAGTTGTAGCACCTCAGGTTGTCAGGAGAAACAGCACTGCCAATTTGGAACTCTGTAACCTTCTCATTCCTCATTCCCATGCTACACCAGTTTTAGGATTTTTCCAAACCTTTACTGCACATAGCAGGAGGCTGGAAGACTGGGTTTGGTCAGGATGAAGGGCTCAGGGGTAACCTTGTGGTGATCTTCACCAACCCAGCATCAAAGCAGAGTTAAGACGGATTTTCCTGGAGGTGTGCAGCAAAATGATAAGGGCCAACCACCATGGATTTGTCTAAATACGAGGGTTTGGGGTTTTTACTTCTTGTGAGGAGGGTCAACCACTAGGACAGGTTGTACAAACAGATGGAAGAATCTCCAACACCAGGTATATTCAGGGCTTACCCGGGCAAAGCTCTGAGCATCTTGGTCTTACTAGACCTGTTTCAAAGAGGGTTTGGACCAGACGCCTTCACAGACCCCTTCCAACTAAATTATTCCACAATTCTTAAAGAAATTTGCTTCCAATTTTGTTAAACTACTCATATATGATATATGATCTGGGAATGAATTTATATTTGGTTCACAAACAACAAAATCTTCAGTTTTCTTCAAACAGACATGAGAATTACATTGGTCTTTTCAACCCCAAAACAGCAATGTTTGTGTTTGTATTTTTTTCCTCCCTAAATGGGAATATTTTCCTCAAATTTTGTGGAGTTCCTGCTCACTGTATTTCTATGAATTCCAGCAGATATACTGTGTTCCCTTTAACAAGAAAACAGGTTTGCACCAGCTGCTTTCTCAGATGACAATAGCAGTACTTATTCCAGTTGTATAGCAGAACAAAAAATGCTTTACCAGTATAACTAGTTGTTACTGGTTAGTATCAATTACTCAGTTGTGATTTAAGTGGTGGATTTACAACTGTAAAGACTACAACTACAAATAATACCTCAAATGAGAAAGATAAGGTTGAGTCCTGATTTCTGTATCCTGAGGTTCTCACTATTTGTTTGCAATCTGTTCCAGTCCAAGCTAGTCCTTGTGAACGAGCTTGCAACTGAGAGCATCCCAGCAGCTTTTCATGCCAAGGCTGCAATTTCACAATAATTTAGACCAATTTCAGTTACAGCTGCCTTGGACGTCCTTGTCAGTGAATTATTGACCCCATAGCTGCAGTGTAGGATGGCAATAAGAACTCATCCGCATATCATTCAAAACCACTTATTATGGGGATATCACATGGATGGATAGCTAATGACATCCCACCCTGTGAGCATGGGATTCAAAATACCTCCTTTGTCTTTAAAAGAAAAATAAATCTAGCTAGATCAATGTATTTAACACAGCTGACCTAGAAAGAGTCCTGACCCAAAGACAAACAGCTAAACCCCATTACATTCAGGACCAAAACAATTAAATTCTTTATATTTCACCAACACTTAAAAATGGTGGAAAGTATTAGCTCTGCATAAAAAGAATATTTTGTCTCAGTAAATGAAAAGACATTGTGAACAGCTTGTTCTCTATCTGAAAGGTCATCTATTCATTCTGTTGCACATCTTTTGGATGATACGATGCAGTTACTGAAGTTGGAGATTTCACGAACATTTATTTGGAAATGGCTGATCTTGGAGTCAACAACCACATTTTAGTTCTTTGCTAAATGATGTGACTGTGCAGTGATCCTCATGAGGTCAGAGCTATTTACAGCAGATTATTTCCCCAACTTCCTGTATAGGTGATATATGAGTTTCAGCAATACATAGCCATGTGTTCAGAAAACAAATCGAGTACCAGATGAAGCAAAACTGCAGTGCTTATCAATGAACTTCTGCAACTGATATTTTTTTTCTTTCTCTTCTAAATGTAGGTGAAATGCTAAGAAGAAAAGTTCATAAATTATGATTCCTGTAGCTTGTATATAGACTAGATCTCTCTAAATTGTCCCTGAACTTGCTTAGAAATTTAAAGCCGGAAGGTATGTTTTGAACAAAAAAAGTCTGGATTCTACATGTGGTCCATTAATAGCATTACTCACCCATTAAATTACTTTAACAAGTAAGCAATGAAAGTGCTTTTGCTAGATTAAATATCTATTACCAGACGTTACCTAAAGACTTTACAATAATATTCATATTTTCAAATGCCTGCTCTAGCTTGTAGATATTTCCCTGAAATCCTGCTGTTCATTGTAACTATCTTCTGTATTTTCTTCCTAAATGTACTGTAATTTAAAATTATTGCAGAATGTTTTTTCATACCATAGAAAGGACACAAAACATGAGGGTGTACTGATTCTTCAAATGTAACTTGCTCAAAACAAACAATTGCACACTTCTCAGATACTATTGGACATTAATACATGTCTGCAAATAGTAATTTACAGGTTTTACCCTACAAACAGAGAGAAAGGCAAAGCATGAGAGAATTTATTCATAGCAAGTTATTTATTCTGTTACTAATGGCCACTAAGAGCAGTAAATTTGAATGAAGAAGGGCTCTAAGTGTATAAGTTGGGCTGATAATCATGAAAGCAAGTCTTTATAGGGTTTTTCTGTTTAGTCACAGTTGATTTAAGAATTAAAGAAGAAAAAAAGGCAATTCCATTCAAATAATTAATTATTTACAGTGCACCACACCCCTGCTTTTAAATATCACTGTATCTCAGTTTCTGCATTAACTTGTGACTGTCTTCCCCATTATTCCCATAGAAAAACTTTCTTTTCTCTTTGCAGCAAACAGGGAGAATAAAATGCATAGTAATAGTTGGAAAAGAAAAGCTCCCATTGGAAGGGAATCTTTGTGCAAAAGCCTGTGAAGTTATGCTTTTTTTTTTTAATTCCTCTCCTTCATGAATTTTTTATTTAATCATTTTCTTCTAGCCATCAATCTAATTTTTCTTTGTTCCTCACAATTTTCTTTTATTTGGCTAAGCAATTATTACAAAGTATGCAGTTAGCTTGCAGCTATGGAATATTTCATTTCAAAGACAATTTCAAGCATTTTAAAGCTTCATAAGGACATGTAACAGAACCAGCATGAATCCAATGGGCTCTTGTTCTTGCAGCATTCTGGGGGCAGCCCTAGGCAGTAATCTCACCACACAGAATATGTGCAAGCACCATAGGCATAAAAATAATAAAAAAGCAGGCACTGTGGTTGTTTGTCATTAAATAATCAATTTGTGCCAAGTTCTGCTGAGACAGTTTCTCATGGGCTGTGTGTGTGCCCTCCTTTCACCAGGTGAAATAAGGCAGCATGGACACCAGCTTTACTGGGAGCAGTTTTACTGGGAGCAGTGAGTATAGCTCTTCCCATTTTTCTGCCATGTACAAAGTCATTCTGCAAGATAACATTCAGGGTGGCTGAGGGGTGAAAAGACCAGTATATAGACATAGGATGTTCTCACACACATGAATCACTTATGGAACATCAGTTTTCAGCTGATAACTAAAGGACCCTAAAAGAGGGTAGATTTAGATTAGTTATGAGGAAGAAGTTCTTCACTATGAGGGTGGCGAGACATTGGAACAGCTTGCCTGAGAAGCTGTGGCTGTTCTATTCCTGGCAGTGTTTAAGGCCAAGTTGGATGGGGCTTTGAGCAACCTAGTCTTAGTTGAAGGTGTCCCTGCCCATGGTGGAGGGGTTGGAACTAGATGGTCTTTAAGGTCTCTTCCAATCCATACTATTCTATGAGACAGAAATATATCTACATGAGAAGTTGCAAGTGTATTGCATGTGTAAGGTGATGATGATGACAGCAAACAGTAACTATGCATGTATTTGGTGGGGAAGGAGGATCTAGAGTCCCAGAGACAGTAAATAGGGTCATATATTTGGATAAACAACACATCATATATTTCCATGTACATAAAAAAATCCAGAGGATTCCCTGCTGCTTTCCATGTGCCCACTTACCTCTCTAACCACCTCATACCCTTCCTGTGACAGGGCAACTCTGCAAATATTAACTCAATGTGATGGCACATTTGTAAATGCCAGGCAGGTAGAATGGGTTTCTGACATGGGATGATATACCAAATTTGATTTTTCAGTGGGGCTTTTTTTCTCCCTTCTCCACTCTTCTCTAGACAGGGTATCAATTACCAAGCCTTAGTTCAGGAATGAATACAGATCTGTAGCAAGAAATTGTCCGTGACGCGCATCTAACAAATCAGGACATGCAGTACACTTCATGGTGTTGCTACATCTAACACCTGTGAGCTCTTCTCAAATTTGAGCATTTTCTTAAGCTACGACAGTGGTACAAAGCCATCAGTGTAGCAGTCTCACATTAATAACTTCTTACATAAACATGAAAAGAGATAATTTAAATGAAAGATCTTTGTCAAATGGAGCAAAAGTTAAATTCTTTTTATTAAATATATTGAGGACAGTTTCTGAAAAGCAAATATTTCAGTCTAGCTATCACACAGAACGAGTAAAGAAGGAAAAGTAGGGAAATATTGCAGTGTTAGAGAGATACACCTCTCTAATTACCCACCAGGCAATTTGTGTGTCCACATGTTATATACTGGTATACGTGTGCACCAACCAGTGCTTTTAAGCCATCACAGCTAAAACAATAGATCATACATACGAAGATTGAACATCTTTGTAATGTTCAATAGATAAAACTGTATTCAGAACATACCTATTGCTCTATTGCTAATATTAGACACTCTGTCCAGCTAAGCCAGATATAATTATTCCTAATGCCAGTCCTGAGTCATTAATCCCTTTATACCCACAAGAAGAGATAACCTGAAGACAAATTCCAGTTTGTCCTGGTTTTCTGGTCAGCCCATTACATCCTGAATTGCTTTTGCGACCAAGGTTTTAAATATGCAGTGCATCAATATATTTTCTTATAATTACATGGTGTACAAAAGATAACTTCCATTATAGAGAGGAGTAGAAAAATACAGACTCTATGTTCCTTAATCTACAGATCTTCAAAGTCACATACTGTGAGCTGGGGAGAGAGTACTGATAGTGAAATCTGTTAAATTGCAAAGAAAAACAACTGATCTGTTTGTGTTTTTTAAACTTATCACCATTCTGAACCCAAATCTCTTCCACTTTGCACAATACA